AGCGAGCATCAGGTCTGAAAGTCAGCTGCAGACAGGTGGCACATGGGGTCAAAGTACTGTGTTCTGCACTCTCAGGACCTGTGGGTGGCCCTGGGCAGCAGCCTGAGGCCCTCCAGCCCTCTGAGAGACTTCTGCTCACTGGCCAGGGGACATCAGGGTGCTCTCACAGACGGAGCCCCTGCAGTTAGAGACTGAGCCTGAGAGACCACAGCAGTGGCCTGGGTCCTGCAGCAGTTCTTGCTGCCTCACCTCTGTGCCATCAAGCCTTCTTTGTGGGGTCTCCCTTGTCTGATGCAGCTCAGCCCAAAAGATGTATTGTGGGAGCAGCAGAGAGGTGGGGGCGGGTGGCCGGCTACAGGGTGGCAGCAGGACTGCTGGCAGAGAAGAGTAGGCTTTGGTGGAGGGATGCGGAACGTATGGCTGTAGTCGCGTGCTAAATTGGTGAAAGAAATGCATCTCACCCCTAGGGGAAGGTCTGGACCCAGGAAAGCACTTGCAGCCACAGAAGGGGGACTGCCCTGAGGGACTCAGTAAGAGGAGGGCCAGCAGGGAGCAGTGGGGTAGCAGTGCCTCAGAACAGGCCCTGGAGTCCGTGCTGGCCCAGGTGGGGGATGGGAGTGGACGTGACTGGAACTTGGAGCTGGAATGCAGAGAGGAGCCCCCAGAGGAGCTCCCCTCTAGGGCTGTTTTCCTTGCCTGGTATCTCTTCACACTTTCCCTTCACCTCTTTGTCCTCCACATCCAGCGCAGGTGGCTCCTGCTCTGAGAGCTTTCCAGAACCCTCTGGGCCCTGGCAATTTGTACCCCCTTTTGCAGAGGAGACCTTGGTTTCAGAGGTTGCTGGTCAGAGGTTGCGCTGCCTTCCTGCGGTTCCCACCTCTGCTGAAAGCGCCCGCCAGCCTAGGCCACTGGTAGTGGCGGTGTACCCTTCATGTCACAGTATCAGTCTTCTGCCATGGGAGGGTTCGTGTGTGGGCAAGTGCACTGCTCCAGAGCACACTGGGTGCACGATGGAGCAGGCGGGGACCAAGGCTGGGCCCTGTACCACAGGAGGGGCACCCAGCACCCCTGGGTGAGGAGTGGCCATTGGGGTGAGTGCTGGGCCCTTACCTCCTGCAGGGGGTGTCAGGTGAACCTCTGGGCTGCTGCTGTGCCCTGGAGGAGGGGGTGGCCATCAGCTGAGCTGGGATGGGCACTCTGAGCCTCCTGGGGTGAGAAAGAGCTGCAGGAGCCCAGGGCGGAGCTGAGGATGTGGAGGCTGCTGTGAGGTGGGAGCCCCCTCCCCATCCGTGCCCACACCCTGCCCCAGGAGCTAGTGTCAGCGCACCCAGGGGCCCCGGAAGGCACAGCCCCCTCTAGACTGATGGCTTTGGAGAGGGCCTGGTCGTCCAGGGCCTGGTGCTCTTGGGGGCATCCCTAAGGCAGCCGTGTGGCCACAGAGGGCCATGAGATGGAGCAGCAGAGGGCACCTGCCCCATGGTGACTCCTGTGGTTGCTGCACTGACTGCCTGCCTTCTGGCACTCCCACCAAACATGCTGGTGCTTCCGTCCACCTCCAGGTGTCCACTCCCTTCTCACAGACTTTGTGAGGTCCCTCTTCATTGCGTGTGTGCCCGGAGCAGGTCACAGCTGTTGGGTTATCTGTGTCAACCTCCATATGGCTCACCTCTGGGCATCTGCTGTAGTCCTTGTCCATCTTCACCCAGCTCTTATTTCGTTTCTGCAGTTGTTTCCTGAGTCTTCATTCTTGTTTATGGATGCTACTCCTTCTTTTCTCTTTGACAATCCAGAAGGTATTTGAAAGTCATTATTTGATTTCTCTATTATCTTCATGTCTTCTGGAAGATATTAACCTCCACATGTTGACACTGTTGCTTGTCTTAACCTCAGTTTTCCCTGTATGCTTTGAAGTTGTGGTTTGTGGGCTAATCTTAGTCCTAGAGGCAGGGAGTGACCTGTGGTATCTGAACCTCAGGACAGTTTCAGGGGTTGGAGCCCAGGCGGGCCAGAGGGTATCAAGAAGCTCCCAGTGGCCTGGCAGTTGGGACACTCCTGGCATGGATAGGTATTTGGTAAACATTTGCTATAAGAAACTGGTGAGGAAACTAAGCCGGGGATTCTGGAGCCAGAGGTGGCACCACGTGGCTGTGGCTGCCGAATTCCCACCAGGAGCAGGTGTGTGGGCATTGCCTGGAGCTGGCAGTGCCCCCTCCAGTGGCTCCAGGGGGTGCAGCCACCATCTGGGTATGTGTACCAAGAGTCTCCTGGTCAGCTGTGCAGGAGCCGGGAGGAATGGCCAGGAAGTCTGGGTTTTGATTAAATGTAGTTTTAATTAAAGTGGCCCGAGTCGGGTGGGTGGGGGAGGCAGGAACAGTGGCAGTTTTGAGTCTGACTGCTGAAATGCCTGTGGGCCGCCCTCCAGTCCGTGTGGAACAGCTTCTGCCCTCTGCCTGTCCCCAACAAGGAACCACCATGGGGGAAATAGTACAATAGTAATAGTCAATTTCCCCTCCCGGGTAGTAAGAGATGACTCAAGGATTAATTAGACACACAGCCGACAGAGAAGGGTAGGAAATTGCCAGATCCTGGCCCAGCTCCTTTCCCTTGCCCTGGGTCTTGGACCTTCCTGTCTGAGATGGAGGCCTCCGCAGGGAGAGAGCAGAGAGGGCAGGACAGGTCCTGCTGCTTTTTCCACGGGCACACTCCTGTAGTCCTGCTCCACCCATCTCTGCTCACAGGAAGGCTGAGAAAAGGAGTCCCTGGGGTGCAAACGGTTAAGCACTCAGCTCCTATCCAAAAGGATGACAGTTCAAATCCTTGCAGAGGTGCCTCAGAAGAAAGGCCTAGCCATCTGCTTCCAAAAATCAGCCATTGCAAATCCTATGGAGCCCGGTTCTACTCTGACACATGTGGGGTCCCCCTGAGTCAGAGTCGACTCTATGGCAACTGGTAAGGCTGAGAAGTCACTTAACCTCTTTGGGCCTTAGCTATCTGATCTGTAAAGTGGGGTTCATGAGGCCAGTGAGAACACAGATGATCCCTCACACCCAGCACTGTCATTACCCAAACTGCTTAATAGGGTACGGAGGAGTGTCCTAGCACCCAGGAAGGTGGCTTCCAGGGCCTCACACCTGGGGCTCCACAGCATGCCCTCCAGAGGCCTCCCAACTGTAGCCAGGGCCCTCCATACCCCAGAGCGTGTGCCTGGGGCCCATCCTGGGTTTGCAGAGGGGTCTGATGGGCACTGGCGGAACCGGCACTGAGCCCAGGCCTGCCTGTAGTCGGGTGCTGGCCCGTGGCCCTGGTGCACCTCCGGGACCCCACACCACCAGCTGCAGCACCAGACCACTGTCCAGTCTGGCCAGCCCAACCCAGCAGGCTCCAGCAGAGCCCATCCTCCACCCAGGATCCTGACTTGCACCCCATGAGCTGCCAGCCCTTGCAGTCTCCTCTGGGTAGAGGACAATGCTAGACGTCCTTCTCATGGGTTTGGGCCCTATGACCACCAATCTTACCAGCCAGGTTGGAAGCTGGCTCAGCCTTGGGGTACCGGAGGACCCTGCTTGGGGACAGAAAGGGGGTTGAACCACCATCTATTAATGCTCAGCCTGGCCTAATTTATGGCACATCTGTGGAGGGGAGGCAGGGCTTCTGGTGGGTCTGGGGGCTGCTTGGTTCTCAGGCTGCTATAATTTAGTGGGTTTGGCTCTCTCAGATCAGAGGAAGGCATGAGCAGGGAGGGGCCACTACTGGACAGGGGACCTGAGCAGCCGCCTGACGTGTGTGACAGGGTGGGGCAATGTGGGCACAGCCACGCTGATGGGGCCCTGGGGGCTCAGACTGGGTGCTCAGCAGCCTCTGCCCCTGAGGGTTCAGTGCTGCTCCACACTCTGCAGCACCAGCCCAGGGCATCTCAGGTCCACTTCCTCCTCCTAGAGCCCTGGCAAGGGCCAAGGCAGCGCCCAAGATCATCTGAGGTCCAGACTTCTCGCTGTATCAATGGGGAAATTGAGGCCCAGAAAGGAAAAACCTTCTAGCCCCAGTCCCACAGTGAGCCCCTGGCTGAGTACCCACTTTCTGCAAATGTCAGTCAGGCCCCTATCAGCAGGGGCGCAGGTGGGGAGGGTGTGGGAGGGGGGCGGTGCCCTCAGAGCAGGGAGCTTGGCTGAGCATGCAGGTGGGGGGGCGGCACCCAGATGTGCGTGGGGGCGGCACTGGAGGACAGGAGCCTGAGGCACGAGCTCATCTGTCTATGCTGGCTTCTCCGCTGCACCGTGCCACTGTAGAGAGAGAAACTCACCTGCCAACCACGGGATCCAAGCTCTTGGGGTCTCTGGCCCTTCCTTCCCTGGGCAGTGAGGTGGTGGTGGCAGCTCTGAGGGAGGGTTGGGGAAGGAGCAGGGCAGGCTGAGGAAGTGGCCCTGAGAGAAGAAGTGAGGGAGCCAGAGGTCCCTTGTGGGGCTGGGCTGGCTGGCCCAGGAGGCACAGGGAGCCAACACAGGTGAGAGGTTCCCAGCTCCCTACAGAGAAGAAGGATGCGGCTGAACACAGACCTGGGCACCCAGCATGGGGATGCAGGGCACCTGGACAGTCCTGGGGTGAGCCCACAGGCGGCAATCCTCAGGCTGACACCTAGCCTGCGGGTAGGGCAGGACTTAAGCAGTGGGGTCTCCCAAGGTGGGCTGGGTCAGCCAGGGCTGAGGGCAGCACTGGATGTCCCACCTGTGCCCCTGCCAGTGGGGGCTCAGCTGCTCACAGGGTCTTCCTCTGCAGGTACCTCAAGACTGAAGCCAGCTGAGCCAGAGATGCTGCTGGTGCTCCTGGAAAGGGCCTGGTTTCTGGAGACTTTTCATCATCTGTGAACAGGTGCCCCTGCAGGGACACCCTTGGGTCCTGTGAGGAGGGGCCTGGAGCACCAGCGGGCAGGTGGGCACCGTGTGCAGCTATGGACCGTGAGCTGGCCCGGCCCATGTCCTTGCTGAGCCTACTTTCCCTCCACCATGTCTGCCATGGGTACCTCAGTGTACATCATGGTGGAGCTAGCCATCGCGGTACTGGCCATCCTGGGCAACGTGCTGGTGTGCTGGGCCGTGTGGCTCAACAGCAACCTGCAGAACGTCACCAACTACTTCGTGGTGTCGCTGGCAGCAGCCGATATCGCCGTGGGGGTGCTGGCCATCCCCTTTGCCATCACCATCAGCATAGGGTTCTGCGCCGCCTGCCATGGCTGCCTCTTCATCGCCTGCTTCGTGCTGGTCCTCACGCAGAGCTCTATCTTCAGCCTGCTAGCCATCGCCATTGACCGCTACATCACCATCCGTATCCCACTCCGGTGAGCGCTGGCTGGCAGGTGGGCGGGTGGGTGGGTGTGCCACCGGGGGCTGTACACAGGGCTCGGTATGTGGGTCATTGTGTGCCGGGCACTCAGAGCAGAGCTGAGCACAGGCACAAGGCACAGAGGGTGGTCAGGGCTTGGCACATGTGCTGGTCCAGCCGACCCCATGGGCACAGGTTCCAGGTCATGTGGTGAGGCTGCCTGGGCCCCCAGGCTTTGTTGTGCCTTGGCTGCAGCCTGACGTGTGGTGTGGCCCAGGTGGCTGGCTGAGGGAGGGCACCGTGCACAGCATGCTTGAGCTGCCCTGCACATAGAGCAAACTCTCTGCCAGGGGTGGGTGGGGCGGAGCACCACAGAAACGCAACATCTCAGGGCCAGCAGCCCACCCACCACCCTCCCCAGCTGCTTTAGGCGGGCCCCTTGGTATGCACATGAGGAAGGTGACCCAGGGATGGGAAGTGAATTGGCCACACTTCACAGTGAGTCTCTTGGCCCATGTGCAAACCCTGTGCTCCACTGGCCGCCCAGGGCTCGTCGGCGCAGAAACTGCACGCACTTGGGCTGGCTGCCTGGGGGGCTTCATGGCAGGTCTCTTGTGTACAGGAGGATGTCACATACAGGATTAAACTGCGGACTCCAGAAAGTGCACGCTTCTGTGGCCCCCCCATCATGGCCATTAGGCTCCCAGTCCCCAGAAGTGAGTGTAAGGGCTCCGTAGCCGAGGTGGCTGCAGGCCCGCGGTGTCTCAAACCATCGGGCACTGGGTCCTGCTATAGATTCCCCGGACAGGGCAACCTTCCTATGGTGGAAGCCCCAGCAGCTGGCTTAGTGAGCAGATGGAAATTTAGAGTGTAGATAGAGCCCAGAGGGGCCTTCAGAGGTAACTTCCTCCCATCTGGGTGGAAAATGAGGCTCGGAGGAGGAGCCAGGGTTCTCATGGCTACAAAGTGAGCCCCAGTAGGGCCCGGACGAGGTCGGGGAAGAAACTTGGCCTGCCACCCACTCTGATTCCAGGCTCCCAGGACCCACCTTGGCAGCCCCTTCCATCACCTGGGCTCTGGGTGGCAAAGGGAGGGGCCTGGAACCCCATCAGAGGATGAGGGGCTGGTTGGGGCTGTGTGACCCCACACACTGCAAATGTCAGTCAGTCATGTGGTGGTGGCCTGGCCCCCAGATCACCATCCCTTCCTCCAGGGGCAGAGCACAGAGCTGAGGCTTGCCAGATGACAGCTGAGAATGCGGAGGCCCAGGGAGGCCCTCACAAGTGCTGGGGCTGTCAGTGGGCACCCCCACGGAGAGAGAGCCCAGGACTGGAGCCCACCTCAGGGCCTGGTGCACATGCATGGGTGCTGGTGGGGGTATGCTGGGGGAGGGGGGGTTGCCCCTCTGATGACCTGGGCCGGGTGCTCTCTGATGCCAGGGGCTGTGGGCTGTGCATGCTCTCCTTTGCCTGCCTTTTGAGAGTCAGGAGAATAAATGCCTGACCTGGTAGGATGGACACGCGGTGTGAAATGGAGAATTTCCTCTCTGGTCCCTCCACTACAGGGACACATCTGTCCCTCTAGCTCACAGAGGTGTCATGAGGGCCATGTGAACAATTGCTGTTGGTTGTTGTTAGGTGCCGTTGGGTCAGTTCCGAGTCATAGTGACCCTATAGGACAGAGCAGAACTGCCCCATAGGGTTTCCAACGAGCAGCTGGTGGATTTGAACTGCTGATCTTTTGGTTAGCAGCTGAGCTCTTAACTTCTATGCCACCAGGGCTCCTTCCCCCTCCCTGGTGGAGGGGCTGTGGCCTGTCCCCACCCCATCCACATGCCCACCTGCCCATGATCCAGCATGGCTGAGCCTCGATCCACCCAGACCCTGGGCTGTGCTGGTGAGGCCTGAAGGTTGGGACCTATGAGGAAGGAGGCTGGGTGGGTAGTGATGGGGATGGTCAGAGCTTTGCCGTTGCCCGAAGACATCAGCAAGCACAGTGCTGCTCCAACCCTCCCGGCCCAGCACCGAGGTCAGGCAGATGTGTGGCCCTGTGTTCCCCATGGGAAGCCCAGCCCACAGAAGGACTTGCTTCCTGCCTTGTGCGACTTGAGACTTTGTGCTACACCAGCCCCTGGTCCCTCCTGGTCCTAGTCCTCCAGGACCCAGGTGGGCAGGTGGGAGGGTTCCCGTGTGGGCGCTCTAGATGGGGAGCAAGCCCTCGAGTGGCCACCATTTCGGGCTGAGCTGGTGTGAGCAGGGCCTTGGAGCCACGGGCAGTTAAGAGCTGTCCCCAAGTGCAGGGGCCCGTGAGAAGGAAGCCTGCCAGGGTAGAGATATGAGGCGTGGTGTCCCCAAGGATGGAGACCCTGGGCAGGGACAGGGCTTTCTTCCCTGGGAACAGCTTTCACACCGTCTTCTGTCTGTACATCAGCCCAGTGGTCAGCAGGCAAGGACATAGAGACAGAGAGGCTGCCATTGTCCCCAGCCTGCCCCGTAGTAGGTGGCAGAGGAGCTGCTGCCCTAGCCCAGCTCTCCCCTCAACCTCCGAGGTGCAGGGCCACGCTGGGGTGAAGGTAGAATGTGGTGAACAGTCTGTGGGGACAAGACCTGAGGGCCCTGCCGTTAAAGTAGGTAGGCTAGGAGAAAGGGCTTCCTGGAGGAGGCAGCACCTGTGCTCCTGCAGGCGTGTGCCTGAAGGGTGTGTCCAGAGGGCAGAGGTCCTGAGGAACGTCTGAGCATGTGGGCACGGCCAGGGCAGCAGGCGTCTGGCTGCAGGGACGGAAGCGGGTGAGCAGAGTGGCATTGGTGTCTGCAGGAAAGGAGCTGGGTTCCTCCATGGGGCAGAGGCTCTTCAGTTCAGGATCATAGCTCCCATGGACAACTTAGGGAAGCCCTGCCTCCTCCTTGAGGTGGTGCACAGGCTCATGAAACCCCAGGGTCTTGGGGGACTCTTGAACTGTAACGTCAGCCCCTAATGTGGCCATAGGAATCCCGAGGGAAGGGGTGGCCTGTGAGCTGGGGCACAGAGGGCATCTATAGACAGGGTGGGTGGTAGTGCTGGCACCAGCTTCCAGTGACGCCTCTGGGTCCTGTAACAGCAGGGTCGTGCTTGGTGGCCTTGGAGTCCCTTCCAGATGGACAGGCTGAGACAGACCTGGGAAGCCAAGATGGGACTTCATGAGTCACAGAAGCCACGGGGACGCTGTGGGACCAGGCCTGTGTGTCTAAGTCCAGGGCTCACAGCCTAAGGGGCTTTCTTTCGAATAAAAAAAATTAGTCTATTATTTTAAAAAATCAGTAACACTTACATGTGCTAAAACAAAAAGGAACAAAAGGGTAGACAGTGAAAATGTAACCCCTGGCTCTTGTCCTCTATCTCCCAGCTCCCTGGAGGCCACACTGGGAATCCTTCCAGGGATAATCTTTCATATATAAACCAAGTCAGTTGCTGTCAAGACCCTATAGGACAGAGTAGAACTGCCCCATAGGGTTTCCAAGGAGCAGCTGGTGGATTCAAACTGCCGAGCTTTTGGTTAGCAGCCAAGTTCTTAACCACTGGGCCACATAGGCAACCGCTATTAACACATTTGTTTTTGTCCTCATGAGGGCTTTCTTTTCAGAATGCACTGGAAACCTCCCCTGTGTGTTTCCTCAGCTGTGAAACTAGACAGTTGACAGACCAAGGATCCTATACTGTGTCCCTGAGCCTTGGAGCCAGGCGTGTCTACCCCACCGCATTCATTCAGTCCATTCATTCAGTCAAGCCCCTCCACCAGCAGCTCTGTGTGAGGGATGTGGGCAGGAAAGCCTGTTGCTAGAGAACCATCGGAAACCTCCCGGGCAGTAGCCTCCAGGGCCCGGCAGCCCCACACCATCCTTGCCCCTGCAGCGTGTCCAGCTCATGGCGGCCCAAGGCAGTGCCTTTCTTCTATGAACAGGCCCAACTGCACAGACAGCTTCCTCCCCCTGAGCCATGTCCGGCAGTTTATGAATGACAGACTTCTGTAATTCCCACACACCACTTCTCCACTTGGCCCCATGACCAGGGGCCATGCTGGCAGGCCAGGGATTCTTGGTCCCATCTTACAAATGAGGAAACTGAGGCTCTAAGAGGCAGAGCGACAGACACGGTCAAATAGTAACGTGCCAGGACCTGGACCCAGGAACGTTTTCTCAGGAAAACGTCAAAACTAAGACAGCTGTTCAGTGCCATAGCACCAAGTGCTATGGAGTCGAGCCGGACTCGTGGCGACCCCACGTGGTACAGAGTAGAGCTGCTCCATAGAGTCCTCTTGGCTGTGATCTTTACAGGAGCAGATCCCCACACCTTTTTACCACAGAGCCACTAAAGGTCCAAACCACCAACCTTTAGGTTAGTAGTAGAGCACAAAGCGTTTGTGCCACTTGGGGACTTGCTGTTCAGTGAGGGTCACATATATTGCTATTTGCAGACGACTGAGAACATTGCCTGGCACACAAGTACTAACTGTAAAAAAGAGCTGTGACTTCATACCTGAGACCCGAGAACAGGACAGGCGCACTGGGTTCTCCGTGGCCTGACAGAGTGAAGAAGTCTGTGACGCTCCCTTCCTGTGGGCCTAGGTGCACAGGTGCACACCAAGCTGCTGCTGAGTGGGCACATATCCCCAAGAAGAACCTGTTTTGATTCAGAATTAAGACTGAGGTGAGACTACCTTGGCCCAAGTCGCCTCTGGGCTGCTTCAGTGTCCATGGCCAGTCCATTCCTCTGCTCGGGCCTCAATTCCCCCACCTGTAAAGTGCAGGGATTGGACTAGGTAAGAGGTCAGAAGCCACCAGTTTGTTGTTGTTTTCCTGATTTGAATTAGATGGCAGAATTTGAAAATACCGGCAGAGTGGGCTCCCTGTTCCCTGCTGAGGTCTGGCAACACTGGCACATGCTCAGCCTGGCAGCTGAGAGCTGTGCCTGCCTCCTGTACCCGTCAGCGTCGCAGCCTGCTTCACCTGCCTATTACCTGCCTGACCTCCACAGGCACTGATGTTTGCAGCCCACGGACTGGGTGATTCTCATCAGTTTTTCTGGGATTAAGTAGAGCAAATGATTAAGTGCTCAACTATTAGCCAAAGGTTGGCAGTTTGAACCCACCCAGTGGCAGATGGGAAGAGAGGCCTGGTGATCTGCTTCTGAAAGATCACTGCCTTGAAAACCCCATGGAGCAGTTTCACTCTGAACACATAGGGTCACCATGAGTCCGAATTGATTCAAAGGCAACTAACAGAGCAACATTCTTCCTTGACACCCCATCCCCCCGTGTGCCCCTGTCTCCGGGCTGGCCTTGCAGACAGACACAGGAGCACCTTCCAAGCCCAGCACCCTGTGAGGGGGATGCACTGTGCTGGGTAGGACCTTTCTCATAGGAACGCTCTAGCCTGAGCTTGAAGGGTGGGCAGGGTCTCCACCAGGTGAAGGCGAAGGGTCATCTGGTTTGCCAGAATTGAAGGTTGCAGCTCAGATTGTTGTAGCTGTCTTCCTAAGTCAGGGAGACCTGGTTTTTTGATCCCCATCCTTTCATGAGCTCTATGCTCAGGGTCCTCATGAGCACAGTTCAGTGTTCTGGAATTCTCCTGTGAGTCTGTGGTCTCCTCCTGGCTAGCTGTCAGACCACCACCTGAGTCTGGACTGGAAGCTAGTCTAACTCCAGGAGACCTGTAGTTTCGTCTGGCTTGCTAGAATCCTAAGTGATTACTTTCCCTCTTTGGACCCTAATATAGCATCCAAACATTTCCTCTTGGATGTTGTTGTTGTTAGGTGCCGTCAAATCAGTTCCGACTCATAGTGACCTATAGGTACAACAGAACGAAACACTGCCTGGTTGTGCGCCATCCTCACAATCATTGTTATGTTTGAGCCATTGTTGCAGCCACTGTGCCAATCCATTCCCTTGAGGGTCTTCCTCTTTTTTACTGACCTTCTACTTTACCAAGGATGATGTCCTTCTCCAGGGACTGGTCCCTCCTGATAACACGTCCAAAGTATGTGAGATGAAGTCTTGCCATCCTTGCTTCTAAGGAGCATTCTGACTACTTCTTCCAAGACAGATTTGTTCATTCTTCTGGCAGCCCATGGTATGTTCAGTATTCTTCGCCAACACCACAATTCAAAGACATCAATTCTTCTTCCGTCATCCTTATTCATTGTCCAGCTTCCACATGCATATGAAGCGATTGAAAACACCGTGGCTTGAGTCAGGTGTACCTTAGTCCTTAAAGTGATATCTTTGCTTTTAAACACTTTAAAGAGGTCTTTTGCAGCAGATTTGCCCAGTGCAATGCGTCATTTGATTTCTTGACTGCGCTTCCATGGGTATTGGTTGTGGATCCAAGTAAAATGAAATCCTTGACAACTTCGGTCTTTTCTCCATTTATCATAATGTTGCTTATTGGTCCAGTTGTGAGGATTTTTGTTTTCTTTATGTTGAGGTGTAATCCATACTGAAGACTGTAGTCTTTGATCTTCATCACTAAGTGCTTCAAGTCCTCTTTACTTTTAGCAAGCAAGTTTGTGTCATCTGCATAACGCAGGTTGTTAACGAGTCTTCCTCTAATCCTGATGCTGCACTCTTCTTCATATAGTCCAACTTCTCAGATTATTTGCTCAGCATACAGATTGAATAAGTATGATGAAAGAATACACCCCTGACACACTCCTTTCTTGACTTTAAACCACACAGTATCCCCTTGTTCTGTTGTACAGGTTCCTCATGAGCATAATTAAGTGTTCTGGAATTCCCATTCCTCATAATGTTATCCATAATTTGTCATTATCCATACAGTCAAATGCCTTTGCATAGTCAATAAAACACAGGTAAATATCTTTCTGGTATTCTCTGCTTTCAGCCAAGATCTATCTGACATCAGCAATGATATCCCTTGTTCTATGTCCTCTTCTGAATCTGGCTTGAATTTGGCAGTACCCTGTCAATGTTCTGTTGCAACCACTTTTGAATGATTTTCAGCAAAATTTTACTTATGTGTGAAATTAATGATATTGTTTGATAATTTCCAAATTCTGTTGGATCACCTTTGTTTGGAATGGGCACCAATATGGATCTCTTCCAATCAGTTGCCCAAATTTCTTGACGTAGACAAGTGAGCACCTCCAGCACTGCAACCGTTTGTTGAAACATCTCAGTTGGTATTCCATTAATTCCTGGAGCCTTTTTTTTTTTTTACCAATGCCTTCAGTGCAGCTTGGACCTCTTCCTTCAGTACCATCAGTTCTTGATTATATGCCACCTTCTGAAATGGTTGAATGTCCACCAATTCTTTTTGGTACAGTGACTCTGTGTATTCCTTCCATTTTCTTTTGATGCTTCCTGCGTCGTTTAATATTTTCCCTGCAGAACCTTCAGTATTGCAACTCGAGACTTGAATTTTTCATTCAGTTCTTTCAGCTTGAGAAATGTCGAGCATGTTCTTCCCTTTTGATTTTCCAACTCCAGGTTTTTGCACGTTTCATTATAATACTTTACTGTGTCTTCTCAAGCCACTTTTTTGAAATCTTTTGTTCAGCTCTTTTACTTCATCATTTCTTCCTTTTGCTTTAGGTATTCTACATTAAAGAGTGACTTTCAGCGTCTTCTGACATCCGTTTTGGTCTTTTCCTTCTTTCTTGTCTTTTTAATGACCTCTTAATTTCTCCAGGCATGATGTCCTTGATGTCACTCCACAACTCATCTGGTCTTCAGTCATTAGTGTTCAATGTGCCAAATCTGTTCTTGGATTTTAGAGCTGTTATATAGATATTAAGACATCAGCATCTCATTTTTCTCCTTGGGCTGTGGGTGGGTTTGGAGGAGACAGATGGTATCTCCTTTGGCTTGGGATCCCCACACTACCTTGCCCCTCAACCCCTGTATCCTCTCCTTGGGTGCTTCTGGAGACCCTAAGTCCAACAGGGAAGAAAGAGCATGGGGTGCAAGAGGCCTGAATTACCAGTAGGTCTAATCGCCCTGCCCCCACTGAGTCCACCCTCTAGACCCACCCCGTGCTCTACAGGAACATGTATTCTAGCCTACCAAGAGTAACGTGGAGAAGAGACCCTGTTCACTCACTGATGCTGCCAAACCATGCTAATTAAGTAAGGCAGGACTCCTGATCCTCTTGTCTAGTAAGCAGAGGGTCATCTGTACACGGGTTTCTGCTGTCTAGGGTGCTGCACTCAGTGAGAAAGGCAAGCTTACTCCCGCCACTCAACAGAGGCGCGCGGTTACTGGCCCAGGCCTGACAGCCAGTGAGCAGGGACTGGGAATCCACTGAAGGCTTTTTGGCTAGTGACCTGCCTGGCCTGGTGTCTCAGACCCCTGACGCTAGTCTCCTCTCCCCAGGTACAGTGGCCTGGTGACGGGCACACGGGCCAAAGGCATCATTGCAGTCTGCTGGGTACTGTCATTCGCTATCGGCCTGACTCCCATGCTGGGCTGGAACAACTGTGGGCAGCCGCAGGAGGACAGGAACCTCTCACAGGCCTGCGAGGTGGGCCAGGTGGCCTGCCTGTTTGAGTACGTGGTACCCATGAACTATATGGTGTACTACAACTTCTTTGCGTGTGTCCTGATGCCCCTGCTGCTCATGCTGGGTGTCTATCTACACATCTTCCTGGCAGCACGGCGGCAGTTGAAGCAGATGGAGAGCCAGCCAGCACCGGGCGAGCGGGCAAGGTCCACACTGCAAAAGGAGGTGCACGCTGCCAAGTCGCTGGCCATCATCGTGGGGCTCTTTGCCCTGTGCTGGCTGCCCCTGCACATCATCAACTGCTTCACCTTCTTCTGCCCCAAGTGCACCCACGCCCCACTTTGGCTCATGTACCTGGCCATCATCCTCTCCCACACCAACTCTGTCGTCAACCCCTTCATCTATGCCTACCGTATCCGAGAGTTCCGCCAGACCTTCCGCAAGATCATTCGCAGCCACATCCTGCGGCAGCGGGAGCCCTTCAAGGCGGGCGGCACCAGCGCCCGGGCCCTGGCGGCTTATGGCAGTGGTGACGGAGAACAGGTCAGCCTCCGCCTCAACAGCCACCCCCTCGGCATGTGGGCCAATGGCAGTGCCCACCGTCCTGAACGGCGGCCCAATGGCTGTGCCCTGGGGCTGGTGAGCAGAGGGGGTGCCCTCGAGTTCCATGAGGACAACAGCCTCCCACATGTGGGCCCAGAGTCCCCTGGCCTAGTGGCTCCCCTGGCCCAGGATGGAGCAGGCGTGTCCTGACAGCCCACCGAGCTTGCCCTTTCCTAAGAGGAGAAAGGCTTTGTCTTTCTGGTCGGTTAAGCCAGTCAGGTTGGGAGAGGCGAGAAGGAAGGTGCTGGAGACCCTGCAGGCGAGAAGGAAGGTGCTGGAGACCCTTAGCAGGGCCACTCCCACTTTGGACTGGAGGAGGGAGCCCAACTTGCCTGGCATGCATGCCAGAGAGAAGGGGATGGGTCTGAAGGAACAACTTGGCTGGCAGGGCCCCACTCCTGAGTGTCTGGAAGTACCACCTGTCTCCGCAGCAGCTGTGGCCGAGCAGACTAGCCTGGCCAGGGCCCGCAAGTGGCTCCAACAAAACCCCTGCTACACACTGCACCTGGACTTTTCTGGGTTCAGGGGCTGCTGTATCCCCCGGAGGTGGCATGTGACTATTTTTCCAGGAGAGAATGTCAGTGTGAGGAAACCCTTTTTGTTTTATTATCTCCCCTTCCCTGGCTCCCGAGTCCGTTGTGGGTCCTGCTGCTAACAGGGTACCAAGCATCTGCCCAACAGGGTGTCCAGCAGCCCTCCTTGCTGCCTGGAGCTGGTGCATGCCCCAACCCTATCAGTCCAGGGCCATGTCTTGGGGTGACAAAGCTGGTGTCGAGGACAGGAGCCTGAGGTATGCAAGGAGTTGTGGGGAGCAGTGCCAGAGTAGCCAGGTCCTAGGGGAGAGGCTGGTGGCCTGCGGAGGTTGGCAGCCATGCAGGGCTACCCAGAACTGCCTGGGGAGAGGCCCATCTAACCGCCTTTCCTTCTGAAGTGAGTGTTTTTTCTGAGATAAAATAAAAATGAGCCACATTGTGTTTCAGCTCGTCTGATGAGAATGGTGATTCCGTTCCTTGCCCCACAGCCAGGACTGGCATGTATAGAAGCAGATTGCACATATTTGAGACAGCGTATGTGAATATGAGGGACAGACAGACAGACACCCTGCCTACCCTGGGGCCTCCCCAGGCTCCCATCCTCCCAGGGGACAAGCGGCCTAGTTGCCCCAGAATCCGAATGCCTGTGTGTGCACCAGACCAGCCTTCCGTGGGAGAGGCCCCAAAGGCTGGGGGGGAGGTGCCCCCCCGCCCCCCGCCGCTCCCCCTACAGAAGTCCCCGACTCTTCCAAACCCTCGTGTGGGGAGGGGCACAGGGTAGGGGAGGGGATGTTTCAGGCCAGGCATCCCCTGCTGTCATCAACTTCCCTGCATCCTTAGAGGGAGAGTCTGTGTGTTCCCGTGACTCATGTCAGAGAGGGTGTGGGGTGGGCGTGCAGATGGGACACTGGGACCATGTGGAACAGATCAGGGCTGGGCTACACTGCCTTCCCTTGGAGTTACCCTCCCCCTACTCCCAACAAGGAGGCAGCAGTGATTCAGTGGTAGAATTCTCGCCTCCCATGGGAGAGTGGGGTTCAAGTCCTAGCCATTGCACCTCATGCACAGCCACCACCTGTCTATCAGTAGAGGCTTATATGTTGCTATGATGCTGAACAGGTTTCAGCAGAGCTTCCAGACTAAGACAGACTAAGAAGAAAGGCCTGGTGATCTACTTCTGAAAATTATCCAGTGAAAACCCTATGGATCACAATGGTCTGATCCCATTGTGCATGGGGTCACCATGAGCCAGGGGCCCACTCAACAGCAGCCAATAACAACTCCCAACAGAAGAAATCTAAAAGGAGTATGATCTGACAGAATGGCTGAGGAGGTGGTGCTGTCCTGTGATGGCAGATGTCTGAGGCCCAGGGGGCAGTCACAATCCACCCCTGCCTGGGGCTGGCAGGGAGCTGTGACTGTCCGGGGCAAGCGTCTGAGGGCCAGTTTGGTCTCAAGGCTTCTAGGCACATTCAGACCAGGACTGGGAGAAGGAGTACTAGAACTTCACAGGTTAGCCTCATGGAGCCTGTGAGTCCATTTTACAGATGACTCAACTGAAGGTAGGAGCCCTGGTGGTGCAACGGTTAAGTGCTCGGCTGCTAACCGAAAGGTTGGTGGTTCAAACCCACCCAGTGGCTCCAAGGGAGAAAGACCTTGCAATCTGCTCCCATAAAGATTACAGCCTAGAAAACCCTTTGGAGCAGTTCTACTTTGTCACATGGGGGTGCTATGAGTCAAAATAAACTGGATGGCACCCAACAACAACAGACTGAAGCTCAGAGGGGTTAAGCACTTGCTCCAGGTCGTACAGCTAATAAGTGGAAGAGGTGAACCTATAGCCCAAGTCTATCTGACTACAAAATCCATGCTTCTTTTTTTGTTTTTTTAATTTATGATGGAGTATTTCAATCAAACTGCAAAATATGAAACATCATGTACCTACCACTCTGCTTAAGAGATAAGTCATTACGACCTCAGTGGAAGCACCGTACCCCTCCCCACATTATTGCCTGACTTCCTGTGCCTGAAATAGCCCCTTCCTGAGTTACACATCACCCTGTATCTCTTTATACTGGTATGTATACGTAAGTATCCCAAAACTATAACAGATTTGTCTTGACTGTATATTACTGTCAATCCATGCTCCTCTATGCTGTATGTAGAGAAGAAATACCTGAGAAGTACCAGGGCCCAGACCTCTGGCCCAGAGACCCTGGTTTAGTGGGTCTGGGTGGTCCCACGTAGCCGTGGTTTCAGAAATTCCGGGAGTTCTCACAGACAGCCTGGGTTAGGAACCATTGGTGTGAATTTACAGAGCCCCCCTCTGTCCACACCTGCGCCCCCCCGCCCCCAAGCCCACCGTGGGTCTGCCGTGGCCCTGGGCGGGGGCAGAGCAGTAATGTGCTAAGGAGGCTAAGGGTGTGGCTGCTGTCTGTCTTCATGACCAATTGTGGGGAGAGGCCAAAGAGAACTGCAGAGCGAGGAGAGAAAGAAACCTCACCGCTCCAGCCTCTTCTGAGGCCTCTTGGGACCTGAGCTTTGGGTGCTGGGCTATACAGGTGCAGGTACTGGGGGCTGGGAGGCACAGGGCCAGGGGGCAGGAAGAGCTTCCAGGTGCCAGCAAGACCCATGTCCTCTCCAGGCCAGCCTCCAGCCTGGCTCAGGAGCCCTGGCCAGTGTTACCAGGCCTCCCCTGGTTTCCATCTGCACGCCCACCCCATTCAGGCCCCTGCCGAGAGCCAGGCATCAGGTGCACAAACACAAGTGCATGTGTCACTCCCTGACCATAAAAGAACCCACGTGTGCACGCAAACATGCTCACATCAGGAAGGTGGCACCCGGCCCTGTGGGTGCAGATGCTGTCGGCGCCCGTCCCCTGCTGCCTGGGCTGCTGCCTAGGCCCTCCAAGCCCTGTAGCACCACCCAGGGGCCCTTTGTGCCCTTTCCCCAGGGCTGGGGTGGACACAGGCCTCTTGCAGGCCTATCCTGAGCACAAGGGTCCCATTAGAGATCATGCCCTGGGCATGTGCCCTGGCCCCATGGGAAGCTATGAGTAGCCCTGGGGAGGGCTGAGGCTGGATTCTGGTTTGTCACTGGCCCAGGTGGGAGAGGCCGTCTGGGAAGGCTCGCCTTCCTTCCCCTCCACTAACACCCCCCACCCCCACCCCGCGGTACCTGCCTCACTGTATAAAGGACCTTTCCTCTGGGAGGCAGCACACAAAACGCTCTGGGCTCCTGGGAGCCTTTCCAAGGGGAGAGCTCTGCAAGCTGAGTAAGAGACAAGCTTAGGCGGTGGCCGAGGTAGGGCAGAAATGAGAAACACTTTGGGGAATGAGGAAAGGAGGTACTGACCTCCCTGGATCTACCGGACAGAGCTGGGCCAGCCTTCTTTTCCTTGTGGTGTCGCAACAGGAGCCTGCTAAGGGAGTAGGGATGTCTGTGCAGCCTGCCCCTGTGTGTGGGCTTCCAGGAAAGTGAGCTCGATCCTGCCGTCCACGCAGCCCCCATGGCCACACCACGGAGGGTGCCCTCCCTCTGAGCTCCTCTGCTGAACCCAGATGCCACCTAAGCATGTCGGGCAGCACACCTCTGCTGATGAGAGAGGTTATGCGAGGTGGGGAAAGAATTCGGGGAAACCGAGTTCTACTGTGGGGCAAGTCACCTCCTCAGGGGCCCTCATCTGCTCTGAAGAGGAGAAAGGGCTCCATAAGAACCACCTCTTCCTCTTTCCCATACCCATTCCTCTTCTGTCCCAAGGTGCCCCTCACTGCAGCTGTCACTCATATTAACAGTAACTGTCACCATTAGGACGCCCTTGTCAGGCTGCAGACTGGACAGAATGTCAGGTGGCTCATGTAGCCTCAGAAGAGGCGGAGGGACATAGAGAACACAGAGCTTCTGGGTCTTGCCTTTCTTGGTTCAGAGCAGAAACAGCAGCTCTGCAGAGCTTCCCAACAAGCCCTTCTCCCTCCCACATGTGATCTTGAGAGGGGCTGGGCACAGGGGAGGCCGGGCACAGGGTCAGCATGGAGGCTAGGCAAACGACTGGTGTGACTGACCCAGTGTCTTCCCAGGGAGGGACTTTTCCCCTCAGTGGGGAAGACTTTGCAGGGAAACATTGGTGTAAAAGTGGCATGGCATAGGCATCTGACCTCCTCTAACTTCATGAGGGGGAGAAAGAATCACCATCAGCACCAGCCCAAGGCTGATTTATATGAAGCAGAGGTCAGACATACCTCTCTCTCCAATCTTTTTACCAATTCTGACACCAACTGTCCCTCCCATGGCACTCTCTACTTGTCTGCTGGGTTCAATAATTCATTGCAATGGCCACACAGAACTCACAGACCATATAGTTGTGGGGTTTATTGGAGAAGTAACAGGTTACAATTCAGGATCAGAAATGACTCAGGATACAGTTCTTTGGTCAGGACAGCCTCTTCTCAATTGTGCCCACAGGCAGGCTTCTCTCTGGCCCCCAGCCTCTCTGCCCCTTGGCCCAGCCTCTGCCTTGCTCGGACAAGTGTTACAATGCTCTTTAGCTCCACCAATAAGTGCCCAGAGACACCCTACTCTGCCAGTAAGCCTTGGCCCGAAGGCACTCAGCTCTCTAGC